CCTTTTTCTGTAGTGTGGAAAGAGGGTCTCTCCAGCTGCTACGCTATCTCATCTGCTTGTTCACTGATACCCATGGGCAGAGAGCAGAGAAACATGCCCTCTCCAGAAGATGGCAGTCCTGTGGGTCTCACTGTTTCAGGCTTTCCCCATCACTTTCGGTGAAAGAGAATTCATTTCTGGATGCGCCTTCTTTGGGATCACCAATTTCCCTTGAGGAGCTGATCCCAGCATGCTTTACAAATCTCAGCATGAGAGCTTCTCTTCCAGGAGCCCATGCCAGCCGAGGGGCCACCCCCATCATTCCCACCACAGCACCTGTCCATGGTCTTGGTACACTTATCAATGGCTGGGTGTGAGGTCGCTGTTAGTCATTCCATTAGACTGGACGTTTCACAAAAGCAGAAACAGGTCTGGTTTGGTTACTGCTCTATGCTCAATGCCAAGATCAGGGCTGGGTATGGAGTAGGTAGAGGCTCAATTAATTTCACTAATAATTGATGAACACAATTTAACAGACAAAAGCTACCATATTTAAGTTCAGAGAGCACCATGCAGAACAGAGAAGATAGATATAAATAGCCAGTGAGATCAAAGATAGAGTGGGTGAAGTTGTCCATAACCTTAGTGTGAATGAACAGGTTGGGGTCATCACCAGAAAACCTACTTTTATCTTGTGCTGTAAAATTTCTAGCGTTCAGTATTCATCAGCCAGTGGATAATCTTGAACCCCTGTGCCTGATCCCACTTGTGGTCCTGGAAATAAAACAGTACAAAAGTGCGGAGCCCAGGCGCTGGTCAGGAGTGAGCGAGCAGAGGACGGCAGGAAAGGAAGGCCTAAGGTTGGCAGGCGAGACTGCGGAGGCCATGGCAGGGATGAGGAGGTGGCCCCACCTCTGCACTGACCAGCCCCCATCAAGGAATGCCATTCAGCCCATCGAGGGAGGAGGGTGGAGGCACATCCGGGCTGAGGAGAGCCACGGGGAGGCTGGGCCTCAGAAGCACGGCATGGTGGGGTGCAGGCATGAGGAGCGACACTCAGGCCTGGGGAGCTCATGGGAGCTGCCTTCATGCAACGTTAGAATTGTCACGTGGAAGACAAGTGAGCCTAATTTGCTCTTCCATTCTGTGTGGTCTGAGCCAGAAGCAGCACAGGTGAGTGAGCTCCAGCAGGCACAGTGGACTGGTCTACTTCATAGGCTCAAGTAGGCAGCAGTGAGGGGGAGGGGAAGGGCACCTCCTCCTGGGGGATGGTCAAGACAGAATGTCAGTGTTCCATGTCTAGTGTCACTGTTTCCATCAACGGTCAAGTCAGAGCTACTTGCTTGGTGTCTTTGACACTGTGTCGGCACGTAGATCCAGTAGAACCTGCTGCATCTCCTGTGTGGGCACATGTGTTTTGCAATGGCAGTCTGAGTCTAAGCAGGTCGTGGAGCTAGTGTCCTGCCTGCACAACTCTAATCATGCACAGCCAGAGCAGAGAGGCTTAATGTCTGTGTCAGCCCCACGAGCAGAAAGCGGGCCACGTTCCATGTCTCAGATGCGGGCAGTAAGCCTCAGGGCCAGGGCAGCTGCGAGTCTGTCGAGGACTTAGAGAGGGAATCGCAGGCCTTGCAGGTTCCCTCCAGCCGTTCACCAAGCTCCTTTTCACAGCTTGCAGATGAAAGGCTGTATGTGAAACCACATCTCCTTTCTTTTTCCCTGGGTCTTAGGAATCTTCTAGGGCCTGCTAACTCTTTGGGTGGGTCTTTTGCATAAAGGACCAGTAGCAGTCAAGGCTGATCGTTAAGCCCCAAAATTCCTTGAAATGCTCTCTCTGAGGATGAGCACAGGGCCAGACGGCAGCCAAGTCACCGCGGACTTAGGTCTCTGTTGTCAAACTTGGGTTACACAGCTTTGAAAAGGATGGCGTGTGGGTCTTTTTTAGAGGGGGGATTGACTTGTCAGGCTATTGACCATACCTCGCTGTTCTGAAGTGCTAAGAATTTGGGTCACCATATTAAGGGTGGAGAAGTGTGCTTTCTGATTGAGAAAAAAAAAAAGTTCTTGCTCAAAAAGGGCAGTGTCCACTAAGTAGCTTTTTCTACACCAAGGACAGAAAGGGTATTGAGTGAAGCAGAATCGACCACTTCATCAGAAATTTCACCAACACCATTAAAGAGTGGTCATAGCCAATGACTGGTCACTCCGCTGCTCAATAACCTACCGCAGCTCCCAGTCTCACTCCTCAGTCTGGTGTCTGCATGGCCTGGGCACGCCAACCCCAAGTCAGTTCTGCAGATTATCAAACCACAGACTACAAGGCTTACGGAGATACTGCCATGTCTTCAGCATTTTCTTCAAGAAAGTCACGTTTGTTTGAGGAGACAATGCCAGAAAATAGGAGTAGTCAGCCAGCAGTGGATTTGGGGCAGCAGCAGAGAAGCAGGAAGGGCCTGGAACTGCAGATAAGACTTCACAGAGAGCCAGCGGGAGGGCCTTGTTGGCTGGCTGCTGGTACAATCACCTGTCAGTCATAGCAGGTGAGGATTCCGTGGCTGGTAGTGGTGGGCGACAGGCCTGCCAGGCCTGGGCTGGAATCCCACCTGGTTCCCGGGTGAGTTTGGTGGTCCATGGCCTGCAGGAGCCAGCGTCCACGCCAACTGAAACAGCTGCACCCGTTTTGCTTTCTCCAACCCATGGGAAGTAGGTCAGCTATGTGCACTGGTGGCGCAAAGCTTAAGAGTAGCTCCCCAAGGCAAGCCTCACAGCGGGTGGGAGGAGAGAGTCTGTGGGAAGCTGTCCCAGACTCCTGTCCTCTGGAGGGACACTCTGAGGTGTGGGTGAATATCCAGCTTCTCAGGCCCCCGAGGCCTCAGACCCGCAGCAGTTAAACTAGCCCTTTCCGGCGTCTCTTCCTCCACCTTCTTTTCTGATTTCCTCACTTCTGCTTGAGTCATCTCTCACAAACCCACATACTCTCATGTCCTGTCTCGGGGCCTGTTTGGGGAAGCCCCTAAGACCAGGATGTTGCATCTCCCTGACAGGCTCTGCTTCGCCAATGAGATCAGAGTGTTCTGACCATTCGCCTACTCCTAACGAATCTCCCTTGGATTCTTGCTGGCAGCAGCCAGGAGCCTGACTCCTTCTGTGGGGCTGGCAATGACCCCTCAGAAGTGGTTGGAAACAAACACCATCACCATTTCCTGAGGTTCAGTGCCAGGCATGGCGCCAAAGCGCACATTCTCACCTCCTCTCTGATTTAAGACTTAGAGCCACCAGTCCCACTTACTAAGTGAGAAAATGGAGGGTTTTTCTCTCCCAGGTGCTCTGGCTTATAAAAGGCAGAGGCAGGATTGAATCCATATCCGTAAAACCAAGAGGCCTGTGTTCTTCAAGGCAAATGAGCAAGCCAAATAAAAATATACTGTGACATAATAAGAACAAAATGGGAGTCACCGAGGGGAAGGCAGGGGCAGCGGTGAGCGAAGCAGGTGCAGGGGGCCCACAGCACGGGGTGCGTGTCGATTAGGCTTTTGGTGGGGTCATGACACAGCAGACCCAGATGTGGAAGGAGGACGTCACCTGACTTAAATAATGTTACAAACCAATAGTACTTCAATTAAAAAAGAGAGGTTTGTCAACCCCATCAAAAATGGGCAGAAGAGCTAAAAAGACACTTTTCCAAAGTGTCTTTGGACACTTTGAGGAAATGCAGATGGCCAACAGGCATATGAAAAAATGTTCAACATCACTCGTAATAAGGGAGATGCAAATTAAAAACCACAATGAGATACCACCTCACCCCAGTGAGAATGGCACATCTTCAAACAACTAGCAACAACAAATGTTGGCGAGGATGTGGAGAAAAAGGAACTCTCCTGCACTGCTGTGGGAATGCAAACTAGTACAACCACTATGGAAAACTGTTTGGAGGTTCCTCAAACTGCTAAACATGGAGCTTCCCTACGACCTGGCAATCCCACTCCTAGGTATCTACCCAAAAGACACAAAAACACTGATTGAAAAAGATACCTGCCCCCCCCATGTTTATTGCTGCTTTATTTACAATTGGAAAAACATGGAAGCAGCCCAAATGCTCAAAAGTAGATGACTGGATTAAAAGGATGTGGTACATATATACAATGGAATATTACTCAGCAACCAAAAAAGAGAAACACATGTCTTTTGCAGCAACTTGCATGGAGCTGGAAAAGATCATGCTTAGTGAGATAAGCCAGAAAGAGAAAGAAAAATACCGGATGGTTTCACTCATAGCAGGAGTATAATGGACCAGGCGAGAAAATAACAAAAATAATGAACAACCATATACCAGAGACATGTTGTGGGGGTGGAGTGGGGAATGGGGTCAAAAATGGGGGGGTAGGGAGGGAAGTGCACCGGATTATGGTGATGGCACACGGGTGACTTGGTGATGGGAAACCCGCGGGGATTACAATTGAGATGGAAAAAAAATGTACAAAATGATATAAAAATTAACTGTTATAAAATTAAAAAATATATATGATAAAAAAACCCAAAAAAAACCCCAAAAAACCAAAAAAACGAGAGGTTTGTATTCCTAACCATTGGTCCACTTAATTGGGGGATGAGGAGGTTGGAGTCTCCAGAGGAAGAATCCACATTTGCTTTCTCTTGAAAATGTGCCTTCGCAAGCTCCTCCAACCCTGCCCCTCAGGTGTACCTGGGACTCGCCCTCAATTACTTGGAGCCTAGAAAGCAGTGAAAACCCATGAGCGATGGGTGCAGCTTCAACATGTGAGACTACATTCCCAGGGACAATCGCACCCCAGCCCTTGAAGACCAGAGGCACAAAGGGACTGTGAAAGGTGGGTTCTCCCCGTCCCCCTGCCAGGTGCACGCTGGTGGTGGACAGCAGAGGGCCGATGTTACAGGGCAGGAGTGGGTGGGAGAGGGGGACGGCCCTGACGGCAGGTGGGGAGGGGCTGGAAAGCCTCCCGAAGGGCCCTTCCCCAGGACTCTCCTGCCCCGGGTCTCAGTACCTGGGTTCCTGGTTTCAGTGACAGCACAAGGTCTTTGACCATTTTGGCTTCAGAGATCGTGACCCCGCCCACCACGAAGAGGATCAGGAGAGGGTGGTCGCTGGGATGAGGCCGGCTCACCTGCAAAACAGAAGTCACCCATGTCAGGCAAACAGTGCAGAGAGCCATTCTATGTACCTACTTAGAGACCCCAAGTTGTTAGCCCATTAATCCTCAGAGCATGATTTGCTAGGAAGCAGATGTGCTAGTGGTTTGGGTGTCCATCGGGCAGGAAAAGGCATGTCATCGTATTGCATGTCTTGAAATAAATATTTTTTTAAAGAAGATTTATTTGGGCCCTCCCTGGTGGTGCAGTGGATTAAAGCACAGCACTGAGAAACTAAAGCCACTTCCGGATGAGTTCGATTCCCGCCTGCCCCGGAGGTGACTACATGGCATGGCAGACCTCTCCTGACCCGCCCGCTGCTCCCCTCAGCAGTGTACTTAGTCCATCTGCCTGTTCTGCTCCCCACTCTGTCTCTGGTGAAGCCTTTCACCGCCCCTGAGCCTCTGGCCTGTACTCCAGTTCTGTATAAATAAATAAATAAATAAATAAATAATAATAATAAAAAGATTTATTTATTTATTCATACAGAACTGGAGTACAGGCCAGAGGTGCAGGGGCAGTGAGAGATTCACCAGAGACAGAGTGGGGAGCAGAACAAACAGACTGAAGAAGTACACTGCTGACAGGGGCACCTACTCCCCTCAAGCAGGTGAGACAGGAGAGGTCTGCTGCACAATGTGGGTCACCTGTGGGGCCGGGGATCGAACTTGCACTGAAGTGGCTGTGGCTAGCTTGCAGTGCTGGGCTTTAACCCACTGTGCCACCAGGAAGAGCCTTGAAATAAATATTGTATTGAAGGAGAATTAAAGGAATGGTGGCTATTAAATAAGTGAAAGTTGAGGGGGAACCTCATTCCTGCCTTGTCAGTCTTCAAGGCTCAGCCTAAACTTGTCCCCCAGCATAAATATATAACAGAGCTGTTAGCTCTATTTCCTCCCAAGCAGCACTCGCCACAGCCTGTGGTTATGACATATTTATTTGTTTGTTTCCTAACTGGCTGCCTCCTCTCCCAGAACACAAATTCCACGAGGTGGAGATCTTGTCTGCTTGGCTCACTGCTTAAGTCCTGACTTAGTGCAGTTTCTGGCACAGAGTAGGTGCTTAGCATATGTCTGTGGAATTGAGGGGAGGCAGTGGGAGAGGTGGAAGAAGATGAGCGAGGCCAGGCCCCACCCTCCAGGCCATTACAGGCTACAGACTTCATGCCCTTACTTCCACGAACCCGCGTAACCAGCCTCAGCTACCCTATCCTGTGGAGCACGCTGCCTGAAGCTGCAGAGAACGCTTTCCAGTGTCTTATGATCTTAACGAGGCAAATAACTGTCATAAATTAAAGTGCTCATACTTGCGTTCGTTAGGACAAGCAACACAACTAACAGTTGGCTCAGTGACTAGTTGACGGGGCAACAAGGGCTCCTGGAGTCAGTAGGATTGCAGCCACGTCCAGAGCCAGATGTTGGGTGGGTGTGGAGCACGCAAGAGAAGTGGTATGAGCCGAGTTCCAGGAAAAGTCAACCAGCATCTGGTGGAGCTGGCTGGAGCCAGCCAGGGAGGAGCAGGCAAGGAAGGGTGCTGCCAGCTGCCTCATGGCCTCTGAAGCCAGACCGGAGACGAGTGGGCTAGAGTGCCCTAAGGAGAGGGTCGACCAGGTGGAGAGTTACACACCACTCACACACACTCCAAGTCACCTTCAGCCCCAGGAGCAGAGGGTGGCACATCTGTGGAGAAGAGCTCTCTCTCACCTCGTCCCTCACGTCTTTCTCAGCTGGTTCTTCTGCTCCCTGGCCAGGCTACCCCACTTTTCAACATCTTACTTTAAAAAACACTGAACAAGGTAATTCATGCAGTGTTTCCAGTTACATAAGTTACACCTTGGCTTCTGGAAAGGGAACTCAGACTGGAAAGGAAGGGAGGAAGGGAGGGAAAGAGGAAAGGGGAGGAGGGGGTGGGGGAGAAGAGGGGAGAGAGGGGAAGGAGATGGTGAGGTGGTGGGAGAGGAAGATATCTGGACTTTTTCAAAGGTTGATGAATACCACAAAAAGCTACATCACTGTCTGATCATTAGAAAAAGACTCTTGGGTCCTCCCAGGTGGCACAGTGGGTTAAAGCGCAGCACTATGAAGCTAGCTGCAGCCGCTTCAGCATGAGTTCGATCCCCGGTCAGGGAGGTGACCCACATGGTACAGCAGACCTCTCCTGTCTTGCCCGCTGTTCCTCCCAGTGTACTTTGTTGATCTGCCTGTTCTGCTCCCCACCCTGTCTCTGGTGAATCCTCTCACCACCCTGCACCTCTGGCCTGTACCCCAGTTTTATTAAATTAAAGAGAGAGAAAGACTCTTGGCCCCACTAGCTGTGCCCTGTGGCTCCCTTCCTCCTGCCAGGCCAAGTACCATCTGCCCACAGCAAACCTGCTTCTACCCCGCTGTCCCCGGAGCTGCTCTCTGAAGTCGCCGACCACCTCATGTGCAGGACTCAGTGGACACTGCTTGGTCTTCACTGAACTGTGTATTTCTGTGGCATTTGTCCCAGTGGATGGCATGTCCTGGCAAGCACCCTGGCACTCTCTTGGTTGTTCCTGCTACTTTTCTAATCATTTCCTGTCAAATTCCTTCATTCTTCAGGCTCCCTTTCCTGGTCTGTTCCTTTGAATGTTGACGTCATGAGGGCTCCATCCTTGACTGCTTGCTCTTCTTGCTTAATACATCACACCTGCAGGGCCTCCTGCTTATATGCTGTCAACATTCTTTCAGTACTTCCAAGATCTATGTCCTTAGCTCACACATCTGCATGGAGTTCCTGTGGACATCCTACCATGCTGCCACCACTTTTTAAAAAAATATTTATTTATTCATGCATCCAAGAACTGGGGTTTAGGCCAGAGATACGGGGCTGGGGTGAGAGGATTCACCAGAGACAGAGTGGGGAGCCGGACAGGCAGATCTACTGAAATACACTGCTGAGGGGAACAGCAGAGAGACAGGAGAGATCTGCTGAATCATGTGGGTCAGCTCCCTGGCTGGGGATGGAACTTGTTCTGCAGTAGATGGCTTGATAGTGCTGCCACTTAGCCTGTTGTGCTGCCAGGGAAGCCTGGATCCTTTCGTTTACAGGGTTGCAGATAGGATGCATGCTCTTCCTCCTAAGTTTCCCTCAATTCCTACCTTGACGTTCGAACAGCATCCTCATCTTCACAGTCACGGTCACAGCCAGATATTTGCGCGTCAGCTTTCACATCCCTGGTGGAGTCGTATTAATTTCCCTCCCTGAGGTTTACAGATCCCTCCTTGACTTCCACTGCCCTGGTGGGGACGCTCATGCCTTCTTCACTGGATCACTAATCACTAGATCACTGCTACGGTCATAGAATTCATCTCGTTGACTGACGGCTACCCATCCCATCTCTTCATTCTTGCCTGAGGAAACTTGCTAAAATGCGAATGTTTGCTATCAATGATGGCAACATCCTAAATACTTTTCTATGGTATCTTGTTCCATCCTCACAATATTCTTAGGAGGTAAACGCAACTACTGGTCACTCTTACAGAAGAACAGATTGGTGTTTACATACAGTGCCTAAATTGTGGAGCCAGGACAGAACCCCAGAGGCCCATTTCTCAAACATCCCTCAGGTTCCACACATGTCCACATTCTTTCCTGGAGTCTCATATCTCTGAGAATAAAGTTCGACCTCCTTAATTTGATAGATAAGGCTTATACAATGTAGCTTTGCTTTCTGATTCTGTTTTCATCTTTCGCATGCACTATTTGCTGGAAAGATTCAGTGTCTGAATACATGGTATTTGGCTTTGTTGTTTTTTAACGTTTAGTTAGACATATGACACTTTACTGAATATGCACTTTACAGTGCATTTCCCACGAATTCAGTTTGTTTTCACAAAGTCAATGAGCCTGTGTGACCAGCACCTAGCAGAGGAAGCGGACAATCAGGACTCTGGACATCTTCCCAGGCCCCTGTCACCACCCACCAAGGAGCACTAGTGGGACTTTAACACTTGATATCATTACTTTGCCTTTTTTCACTTAACCCTATTTTCCAGAGATTTTTCCACATTGGGAGGAAAGCTCCCAGCCCACATGCAGGGTTGGGGTTGCACCAGTGAGTTTTGGCTGCTGTTCCTGTGGGATCCTGGTCACTAAGCAGCCCGAGCATCACCACATCATGCTGTTTATGTAGCACACACGGTCTCCCCTATGAAGAGCACCCTCAATAGCCCTCTTGACCTCCCTCTAACTCTCTTTAAAAATATTTCCTCTTCTAAAAGTTTTCCCCTAACCGTCCCTCAACTCTTGCCCCAAGAGAGGAATCTGGTAGACCCACGCCTTGGCCTTCTCATACCAGACCATTCAGATTATATACCTGCCTGTCTCCTCCCCCTAGTATAAGCAACTGGGGGAGGGGCGACTGACTATGTGTATCTCGGTATTTTCACCTCTAAGCATACACCTACCTCCTGGTAAATTTCAGCCAAGTTGCATGAATAAAATGACTTAATAAGTGAGATCGCTGGTTCACTGGTGATACCCTTCCTTTCTGAGAGGTTTCTTAAGACACTGTCTTTGCTTTATGCATATTCTTTCTTGGCTCAGTCCCTAGTCTGGGGGCCCTTTTTAGTCTTATAAACTATTGTTGTTCTTCACTTATTTCTGGGACAGAAATACAACTGGTTTCAGAACTCCAAGTGGTACAGTATGTTCCCAAAGACATATGCTTCCCATAAGAGAGTCTGGACTCTGAAATACATGGCAAGAATCTTGGAAGGATGTATCGAAAGATGAAAAGGGGGGGGAATGAACAACAAGAATAATACCCTGAGGCTAAGGAGTTGAGAGAATGTTGGGTTTGGTACAATAATTGGGCCCAATTAATGCATATTGCTGTTTGCTATTTGGGTTTCTGTTTAGATTTGTATTTTGATACCAGACTTTCCTTTTAGAACGTGTCAAGTTGGCAGGCTATTGGGAAGTGGAGTCTCTTCCATCAGAATAACACGTG